CACGCACAAAGTACATTAGAGGTTGCCCAGTTCTCATTCCGTAATGCACGAGGTGAGTTTTATCCAACTTAAAATACAATTAATTTAACTCCTCAACTTATTATCAGTCGGCGGGTAAGTTAGTAACAACCTAACGCTATATCAGGGTTTAGAATACAGGTTGACTCTCTTTTTTAGATCATTGTCAACATTTCATTAATATTATCAAATCATTCTAAGTTACCCACTTAAATGAATTTGATGATCTTGCAGTGTCCGTTTATGTTCTGTTCGTTTTATGGACGGCAGGAAAAGGCAATCAAAAAGGCTTTCTTCTGTGCAACTTGAGGAGTGTCTGGTGGGATGGCATACGCTCATCATCTGTTGGCACTGTTTTCTCTAAATCTGAAGACTCTACCAATAATCCACGATTCAATTTTAGCATGCCCTGGAAAGAAAGAAAAAATGTGGCATTCAACACACGTTACAAACAGAAATATTAATCGATAACATTGCATTATTATTACCACTAATCTTGAAAAAAATTGGAGCCAAAAAAAGGAAGGTTGGTAAGCCATCGTGATTTGAAGCTGCCAACGAAGACTGAAGGTTTTTTCAGTGAAAATCATTTTGAATTCGTAGCCCACAATTGAAGTGTCGACCCTCATTTTAAAGCCCGCCGGTGAAATATCGATTCGCCGGTAAGGGTAAAAATATGGGTTTTCTTTGAGTTTATTTCGGCTTTGTTCCAGCTTCTACATAAAAAATGAAAAAACAATATGAAACTTGGTGCGCCATAATCTACATTTTTCCACTTGAATTCGACAAACGTACCCAGAATATTAGTCTTGTCCTTGTCAACTTATCAGTCTAAGTCAACATAATCATATTCGGGTAGGAAGGAGGATGACGAAAGGCGATGAAAGTTACTAGGACGGATTTAAAATTACACAAATAAAATATTTCGTCTATGAATGCACTGAATACTTCAAAGAAGACTGTATCTCAATGTCACTCAATAACCGAAAAAACGATCTCAACTCAATCAGACAGACATGTATTTCCCTCTGAGTTTTCTCTCTCTTTGACAGAGTCTTCGTTCTTTATAGCAGAGCCTTCGCTTGAAATAGCAGAAGCTTCGCTTGTTATGACTGAACCTTCCGCAGTCATGGCAGATCCTTCCTCTTTATCTCTTATTCTTAACATTTTTAATGGATTGCGTCCGATAAGTTCAACAGAAGGTCCAAAAATAAGACCAATGTATGCAACGAAGACAAGGAACTGTACAAACGGCGTCACGTCCATGTTGAGGATGGGTAAAATCAGGTTTTGTACCTTTGCAGGAGATTTTTAGGATTTGTTTTGACCACAAACTTTAAAATTTATGCAGAAACGGGTTTTTCTAAAACTTGGCAGCCGTTATGATGCACATTTCAAATTGAACGCGAACCGGGTACTCCCCCGTTCTCTTAAGGAGAGGCATAGAAAGCAATATTTGGTAACCTCATAGAGAAGTGTTATTAGAATGCCTTCTCCGTTGAGAGATATTAGTTTACTTTAAACAGTAATTTTGAAGCAAGCTCATGGGTTCGAATACGAGATTCATTACCTAAAGTGGCTTGGTTAAACTTGCCAGAGAAGAAATGATATTTGAGTTTGCCATGATGTCTTCAACAGGTACCAGCAGCTTGATTCTTAAATATTAACTCACTGAAATGTAAAGTTTAGTACCCTCTTTTGAATCATTAAAGCAAGGAGCGCTTGAATCGTAATTGTTGTGTGTTTTACCGTTCACACCGTGGTTTACCTTTTTTTAAAATAAAAAGGCCACTTTTTCGATGAGAATTTTGCAAAATTGTATAATTCCAGTGACATGTCGCTTCACCCTAGAAACCGTTTGCATTATTGTTATTACTAGGATACCTGTGGTAGCCCAGTCATAAAATGCCTTTGTTTTTTTGTCGTCTTTTTTTTTTTTTTTTCCTCCGCCACAAAATGGAAAAATTGCGCAATAGTACCCAGAGGTCATTGGGCCCTCAACACCATGACAACTAACTGTGATCCAATGAGGTGTTCATTTGCTGATCACGCGTGTTATCTTGATGATGATTGACGTTGTCATACACGGACAGGGCCGGGTCACATGACGAACGCGTGATAAACTTGTTTTGTATTTCAACGTATTTGGATTGCGATCTCCTGGAGCATTATGGCGCAAACGCGCAAAATACTTACAGAAGCATATACAAGTCGTATTAATCGCGGCTAATCCACACTGAAAGCTGTTATTGAGCGGTAATTTTGGAACGGATTGAGTCGCGAACGCTTGAAAGCCTTGAATGCCTTGTATGCTAAGTATGCCAATATCATAGTTGAAAAACGTTCACTTGTTGTAAAAAGCAAAATCTGAAATCTGAAAACCAACCGGCATATACTCTATGCAATCTATTGAACAACACTACTACCGTGAGACTGAAGAACATAACTATAATGGATGCAAACTGCTTGTGAAGAAAGACGACATGTTGGATTCACTTGATGACAAGAAACGTAGCTGTGATAACAGTACGAATGGTATTAATTTCACTATCAGAAAGGTGAATCTTACGTTCGTTTTCGTTGTAGTTGTGTGGATATTCTTTTTCAATAAATAAGTGATCCAAAACCCTGTGTTTTTTTATGTATAATGTTATTATGTTAAATATTGTTTACGCAATTGTCTTGTCACAGGCGGCCCAAGCTCACGTCTCGAGAAAAAGCCAACGATTGATTCATGAACGCGTCACGCGTTGTGTGACTCGGTGTTAAGTTACGAGATGAACTGTTGGAAATTTGAACACGTTATAAGGAAAAGTATAGGGAACGAAGTATGGTAGATTTACAACGATAAATATTTAGAAATATGAACATTTTTCTCGTAAAATCAATAAAACTTACTCATACCCTGTGTATCCGTTGTATTTTCTGACGATTTCTGCCGTTTTAAGCTTGCTTTACCATTACTGTTGTTCACGTCGTCTACTTTTATTACGTTGATAAATTCTGTACAGACGTCAAACCAACCAACTCGCGCGCAAAGTAAGAAGACTATATTGAAGGCTTGAAATAATATTGCGATCGATTTTCATCAAGAAATGGGCCAGGAATATTCCACAATAGTGCAAATAATCGTGAAGGGGGATCGCAGAAAAGCGATTGCGTGACACGCGGTAAGCTGTAGGATGACATATTAATATATACCATACGTAAAAACTCTTCAGATTCTTAGTCTGCATTTTGTACCCACTCTGCAGTCTGCAGTCTATATTTTGTATCCGGTCCGCAGTCTGCTGTCTGCATTTTTTACTAACAGGTATCCGTGGCACCAGTACAGTTTATTTTTGGCTACATTTATTCGCAAAACACACATAATCTACCTCAAAATACCTGTGAGTGAGGTAATTTGACATTTTCGTTCTTTCCCGCATTAATATTCTTCTCTCCTTTTGTAAGAATGTAGACATCACTCACAATGTTTCAAGTAATCCACCCACCCGACAAAAGAAGTAACTCTTGCATGCATAGCATGCCTATGTTTTGAAATAGGTGTATGCCCTTGGCCAGACTTGAGCGCACTATTTCAGTATACTAGTCCGACACCCGTAATATCACTACACTTGATTCCAAGGATCCAGTACCATCCAGGTATCTTAGTTACCCTGCTCACAGGGTCTAGTTTTCATCTTCGTTACAATCAATATTGAAATATTGATTTAACAATATTGATGAAAGACGATGAGAGAAATGGCCAACCATATTATTGCGATTGTTTTGTCGGAAAAAAAGAACAAAAAATTGAGGAAATATGTTATAATAACGGTCTAAGAGCGCGTAATTTTGTTATTTATTTATTTGTTTGTTCATTCATTTTTTCTTTTTTTTTGCGGATGTCTTGTCTCTCGCGCAACGCAATGCTATAGAAAACCATTATGCTGACGTAAGCCAGTCCGGATAAAGCCGCTCGGTCCTGCACTCGCGCAGCTTTGTCGACGCTTTTTAAAAAAAACGTGAAATTTTAACGAGGAGGCTTTGGCAGGCCGCTGCATGTTTTCCCTTTTAATTCCACTGGCTGGGAGGTTATGGCGCATGTATAGCTAGGATCAAATCACAAGAGGAATTATGTTACTAAGCAGAGCTACCTTAATGTCGTATTAATGTCGTACCATTGGCAGCCGACTAACGTGCTTTATTGCCGGGACGCGTTGCAATTCGACACACGATTCGTGCAATATCGTTCGTTCGATCTTATCCGTTAGTGTGAAATTTAACGTGAAATTCTCCGCGAAATTCTCCGCAGCAGATGATGATATAAATTTCACTTTATGGTAAGATGTTGACAGTTCTGATGCCTGTCAGCCATCAGTCTTAACACGTTTTGACAAAGACGGCCGACATCTATCGAAACCGCCCACATTTGAGTATGCCAAAAAAGACTACCGGCTGCAAGGAAAGAGGTTATGTAAAATAGTTTGAGCTTATCCCAGCCTGCTTACATTCTTCAAGACATTAACTTTTGTATAGCTCTGTAGCCCAAACTGATAGGGATTTGTTGCCGTTCTATGATTCTTTAAATTTAAGACCAGTATCATGCCTTTCTTCTATGGTGAAACGAAAATGACTGCAGCAGCTGTGCAAGCGGAAAGATTCCTGATGTTTACTTGGGGATGCACCAGACTCAGTAAATCGTGAATAGAAATTTACTGCGAATTACAGGGGCAATAACTCGTGTTTAACTAAACATTAATATAAAGGCCTCGAGATAAACCCTTTCACTCCAAAGATTTTATTAGTAATTCTCCTTTATGTCTATCATACAATTTTTTATGATGGTAATTTGGAGAAATTGGTATTGGGTGA